CCTTGTTATGACCTTTGGCTTGTGCCTTGGGCGGTGTCGCAAACGCCACTGAGAGGTCCAAGCTGTCGACGAGGCGACGAGTGGGTCCATCGTCATCGCCTTCCTCGTCATGCTCGGAGCAGGTGCTGTCGGAAGCAACGCTCAACGCATCGTCGTCGACCTCGGGCATCATCTCGGTCCTCGGCGCTTTTCCAAAGCTGGCTTTGGGCACGGCCAAGCTGTGCATTTTGGGTGCCAGCCATGGCTTGGCCCTAGCACTTCGTCAACACGGGTTGCGACACAAGGCCAGAGTACATGACGCAGGGCGACGCCTTCTCCGGCGCGCCTCGGGGTTTGGCTTCCGGACGCTTCTCTTCGTCGCCAGTGGTCTTTGCGGCCGGCTTTGGAATATAGGACGCTGGCGCTGGATGGCGCTTGGCCGCCTCGAGCTTCCTACTCGATGCAGTCGGTCGATGCGCTAACTTTGTGAGCGTACTCGCGTCGGTGTTTGGCCTCGAGGCGAATCGCACGCTCGCGCTCCCACGCTGAGAGCTTGGCTTGGGCGTAGTCCCCTTGCATCTCTCGTAGCTGTGACAGTCGAAATACTGCAAGGTGAAACTCCTGGATCAACCCTAGTCTCGATTTTCAGCAGCATGTGTAGTTAGTTAGTCGTTTAGTTGGTCCATCGACTTTATTCCATGTGGTCTTCGACTTCCGTTGCATTCGTCAGGACGTGCATTTCAACCAATCCCTATGCGTTCGATACAAACTTCAAGGTGGCTTGAGTATCTTTTCAGCCAATCAAATGGCGCGTCTCAAATCTTTTGTCGCTACCGAGATGACATACAAATAACAAGGTATATTTTCGCCGGTAAAAAAATACAGCTGGGCCAGAAACGTCGAAGCGGTGTATTTTTTGCACGGACGCATGAGGCCGCCAACGATCCGCGCCCTGTACGCCGACGCGCATAGGCCGCGCCTCATGATGGCCATGTAGGTACAAGGTCATTCTCCGTGATGTGCGCAAGATGAGCGCGATCCCGGGCTTCCGCGTGCGCGAGCCGCTGAGCATGCTCCAGTGGGGCACCGGTGGCATGCTGCCGCCACCCGAAGACGGCGTCGTCGCGTCGCCCTACGCGTCGCCCGAGGACAAGGAGACGTGGGTCCGCCTGCAAGCGCTCCTCGAGCCGCACCGTGGCGCCGACCTGCGCGAAGTCGTCCGCGCCACGTTTCGCGCCAACGCGACGCTCACCGACCCCAAGGTACACGACACAGTCCTTTGGCACCCTAACCCACGTCTTCGCCGCGCGGTAGACCATTGCACAGAAGATCGACGAGATGATGTGGTAGCGTCCATCGCCCTGCGGCTGCGCTTGCCGTACTCATGCGCGCCATCGTCATGTAGGGTCATTCCCGAGATCTCGCGCCAGCGCCTTCTCGCCGAGTCGTCGAGCGGTACGCACCTCATATCATACTTGACAAAGGTCTCACATCGACATAGTGACTTGCACGGACGACGTCGAGATTGAAGCCACGAGCCAGTTCCTTCCGACACAGTCGGAGCCCAACCGGTTTCGCTACACGTACCGCATTCGCATCCGCAATCTCGGTAGTTGTCCTCCTCACTCCGGTGCATCATGTAGCGGGCCATTAACAGAGTTATGGCATGTGTAGGCGAAGACATTGTGCGCGTGAACGGCCGGCACTGGGTCTTCAACCACAACTCGGTCAAGCGCGACGTACTGCCACGCAACTCGCCCGGCGTTGTGGGGCACATCCCCGTGATCGCGCCGGGTCATACGTTCGAGTACGCGAGCGGCGTCGATCTCGAGACGACGACCGGGTCAGCGTCCGGTTGCTTGCACATGACGCGCTTCATGGCGACCGAAGGCGGCGGCGAAGTCGAATTCGATGCGGAAATTGCGTCCTTTCTCCTCCAGCCGACCGTGTCGGACTAAAAAAACACCACTAGACATCGTTTGATCGCATGATCTTGAACTCTGGTGCAGCCACGCAGCGAGTCGCGCATGAACCCGAACGTAGGACGTCCGCACAGCTGCTTTGCATTGCGCTCGCAACGGCCGCCGCATGCTTCATGGCGGCTCGCATGCATGCATTATGGTGCTTGCAGCCCTAGCTCGAGCCATCATCAAGTGCATCACTTGCTCTCATCCACGACTGGAGCTGCCATCGCGACCCCCCAAAAGCAACTGTAGCAAAGCTACATGCGCGTGATCTTCTCGACGATGAGCTTCATGTACGTATTTTCTTGGTTGAGGAGCGGGTCGAGCAAGCAAATGCGCTCGGTCGTTTGGCCAAAGAAGTCATATGAGTTCTCAGTGCGAGGTGGCAGCCACATGTCATCGGCTCCCATCAAGGACGCATATACCTCGGCGCCATTGCAAGCATGGCATGGCATCGCATGTTGACGCTTGTTGGTGGATGCCAAGCCACACCTCTCTCCCGATTCGGAGCTTCCTCGAGTACGACGCACGCCCATGTCTGTTGGTTTGCGCGGCAAAAGCATGTACGAGTACTACGATGTACACAAGCCGTCGACAAGACGACGGTCGCTCAACTACCGCAGTTATTAGCATCGGTCCTCTCGGCTACTCGGTCAGTAGGGTTCGGGCAGTCGTCGTGACAGAGAGTAGGGTTATATTTTCAGTTTGCAAGAGGAAAAAAGGGTTTGTATTGTCCTACGACTCGATTGTACTCGAAGACATCTACTCGACAATCGCGCGGTAGACGGGCAGAAACATCTTGGACGCGACAAACTCCTCAAGGGACGCGCCGCGGCGGATCTGCGGCGGGGTGGTCGCAATGCCATCTTCGACCGCACACCGAACCACCGCGGTGGCGACCTTGAGCGACACGTCGCGGATCTTGCGGACACTCGGAAACACTTGGCCGGCCGCGATCTCTTCGGGCGACATGCAGTCGACAAGAGCCTGGGCAGCTGCGTAGAGCATGCGGTCGGTGACGCGGCTCGCACCGCAGACCACCGCCGCGAGGCCGACGCCCGGAAAGATAAACATGTTGTTGCACTGGCTCACGTTGTAGTCGGCGCCGTTGAAGCGCACGGTGGGCATCGGCGACCCGCTCGCAAAGACGCACTTGCCGTTGGTCCAGTCGTAGGCTTCCTGCGCCGTGCACTCGGCGACCGCGGTCGGGTTCGAGAGCGGAAACACGATCGGCATGTCGACGTGCTTGGCCATTTCGGTGAGGGCTTCCTACTCGCGACAAATGAGATATCGACCTTTTTTGCGATCATGCAAGCACGGGTAGTACCTTGGTGAAGGCGCCCTTGGCCGCCGAGAGACCGAGCAACATGGTCGGCTTGACTTGCTTGATGAGCTCAACGAGCGACGTCTTGTCCGGCAGGTCACTCCGCGCAAAGAACGTCTGGCCCGACGTCATACCATCCCGCGCCGTCGTCATGAGACCGTGCTGGTCGACCACGTAGAAGCGGCGACGCGCCTCTTCGACACCGACGCCTTCCTGGAGCATGCCCTGAAGCAACGTGGTCGAGACGCCGAGGCCCGCGCTACCAGCGCCCAAGACGACGATGCGCTGGTCTTTCAACGGCACCTGCACGCGGGCGCAGGCCGAGAGCGCACCGGCAAGCACGGTCGCGCCCGTGCCTTGAATGTCGTCGTTGAAACAGAGCTGCTTGAGGCGGTACGCGGCGAGCACATCAGCGGCGTGGTCACTATCAAGGTATCAAGACCGTATCAGTATCGCGGCAACCAAATATCGCAAGAAATCGTACCTGGAAAAGTCTTCGAACTGGACCAGCGCACGCGGCCAGCGGTGACGCACGGCGCGCATGAACTCGTCGATCATGCTCCAAAACTCGTCGCCTTCGAGGCGGCGGTGCTGCATGCCCATGTAGTACGGGTCGTTGAGCAGCGACTCGTTGTTGGTGCCCGTGTCGAGGACCACCGGGAGCACCTTCTTCGGGTCAATGCCGCCAGCCGCCGTGTAGAGCGCGAGCTTGCCGATCGGGATACCCATACCGTTGACCTAACAAGGATCACTCCATGAGCTATCTCTGTAGGAAGAGAGAATGGACGGACGCCAAGATCGCCGAGGCCGAGAATGCGGCTGCCGTCGGTGACGACAATCACTTCCACGTCATCGGACGGCCAGTTGTACACTAAGAAGTGAGAGGTATATATAAGCAAGATGCCCATACAGCGTTGAGAGGGACGGACTCATGGAGGCGAATTGCGATCGGTCGGCCGAGCTGAAGTACATGCCCCGCGGGCGGCGGAACATGGAGCCAAACTTTTGGCACACTTGGCCGACTGTAGGCGTGTAGACCACCGGGGCTACGCGAGTGCATCTTAGTCGACGACGTCATGAGGTAGAAGCGAAGTACCCATCTCTTCGATGTTGTCGATGAGGAGGCGGAAGAAGAGCGTCTCATTTCGGTTCTGGAGCTCGGAGAGGAAGATGCTTTTCCGGAGCGGGTCGGGCTCTTGCTGGAAGAGATCGTAGAGCTTCTCGAGCTGCGTCTTCATGTTGAGGCGGCGCGGCGGCACGAGGCCGCGGAGGCCCAAGCGGTCGCGCTCGACGGCCTTGAAGCCCGTGCCCTTGTTGTACAGCGGGTCGTGCACAATGTCAATGCCACGCTTGCCGGCGCGGACCGGCGGCTGGTACTTCTTGACCTTGGTGATCTTCTCCGAGCTGTACTCGTCGTCGTCTTCGTACGGCGAAAGGAGCGTTCGGGTCGTCGTCAGCGCCCGCGTCGGCGTCCGCGACCGGAGCAGCGTCTGGCGCAGCATGGTGCAGGGATGGAAGTGACTCCAGTCGCTGGATTTCTGCCACTCTCCGACAGAGAGTGAGAGGAGAGTTCACCTCGACAAACGCGATAAGCTGATTGGCCAAACTCACGTGTCGCCGTGAGAAAAGTCACCAATCACAGCGCGGTGGCTCCTGGCAGCCAATCAACGCCGAGGGGATGGCGCCGCGAGGGATGTGCCCACGTTGAAGTGCGATGGCCGCTTGCTGGATCTGGTCGCGGCGGCTGGTAGCACACGTAGCAGCAGGCGCGTTCGCTGCTTGCGCCATGGACCATCGCGCAAGCGCCGACGTAGCCAGCCCGTCGTTGGTTCAAATGGAAGTTTAGCGTGTAGGGTTGCAGCGGCTGGCATAGCGGGTGCTGCGTCATGGGCACTCGAGGACACGGAGAGTGGGAGCCACTCGTTGGATTTCAAAGGAAGCGACTGTGTCACATAGGTAGCCACCTGCCTGTCGACGCCGTACTGATGTGGCACACCGCTCGTCTCGCGAACGAACCATGGCAACCGAGCCGCGTGTGCCAATCTTATTGGCTCCTGTGCTCCTCGTGAACCATCGACAAAGGCCGTCGGTTCGAGCACCGAGCACCGTTTGCCGGCGCTGATATCACCGCAGGAGGTCGACTGTTCTAGTAGCATTTGGACCACGGTCGCAAGGACACTTGGTTGTCTCGTGTGCTACCGGTAGTCCAGCTTGACGTCCCGGCGCTTCCGTTCGCCCGTGCTATCAAAGCGCAACGATACGACATAAACATAATGTATGTCGTCACGTTGCTGGGCGATGCTCGTAAACGTAGCCACTGCAGTGACGCACAATGAGATGACAGCCACGAGTGCGTCGACCGGTACTCTCGCTCCGTGTTGTCGCCCGCACCGAGCCATCGCGTACTAGTAGAACGAAGGTATTTGGAGCGCTGCGCACCCAACCTATCTTGCGTTCCACAACAGAAAGCATCTCTAGTTTTACAGCATCGGATATCGTCCGCGAAGAGCCGCGGCTGGGCGGTGCCATAGATCAACCAACGCGAGAGCTTGTCAATCTGCAGTCGTGGCCTCGGCGCCATGGCCTTGCTTGTCGCCCCGCCTTCGCAGCATGGACAAAGGTTGCAATGTCCGAGCCCGATAGGGTGGTTTTGCCACACCCTCTGTACACTGCAGCCTGCTCAACGGGACGGCTACTGCGTCATGACCGAGTATGTAGGCGCCTTCTCTCAAACCATGGTCTCGTCGTCAGTGTGGACGACATCCTTCGCCTTAGTCTCCGGAGCGCCGTACGAGGTGGTCCGGATCATTGCCGCCTGGAGTCTAGTGCTCCTTTTGTGCTCGCATGCCACCACCGTCTGCAGTGAGACTCCAAAGGTGCATCAGCACTTCTATCCATCTACTAGTATCTATCTATCTATCTATCTATCTATCTATCTATCTATCTATCTATCTATCTATCTATCTATCTATCTATCTATCTATCTATCTCGTCCGGTTTCAGTGGCTCGAACGCGGGTTCACTCCGGGGTGGTGGCTTCAGAGCCAGCGCAACCACCGCAGCGAGGGACAAGCCATCTCACAGGCAGTTTATATTGGTCACGCATGAGAAGGCAGATTCTCCATGGCTGTCGCGCACCGTGAATCTCGGCCTTCGCGAAAACTCTTTGATTTGATCTGATATACCGACAATACCAACTTATCCACATGAACTATCTTATTCAGTTTCCTATCTAGACCACGCACACCATAGACAAAGCTCGAGCTTCCTGGCGTCATAACTCTCCAGCAATACACGCTTGCACGGGCCAAACAGGGAGCTCCGACCGCACGGGTAGCTCGTCCAAAACCAAACGCCTGATTGGTTTCGCGACTGGGAGTCCCGGCTTGGGAGGCCTGGCCATCTTGGGACGAGGCGCGTGCAAGTAGCTATGTCCAGCTGCTAATCCTTGTCCAACGCCGTTTGGCGCGAGTCGTTGGTTGTACGGCCACTTGCTCGGGTCATTTTGGGTTCCTATTTGCCCTAGTTCAATCCAAATTGAGTCACTTGAACAACCTTTCGCCCATCCCTCGTCACCGTTTGTTGGGTGCAGCCGCTCATGCTCCATCGCGCCGGCATGATGGGCACGTCAGCGTTTCTACGTCCTACTTACTGCCTTGCGAGCACTCTCTCCATTCCGTGTCGGTAGCCACCACTAAAGGCAAACTCGCGTCGTCCCGAGCACAGGCAAGCTGGTGCTTCTCCGCTGATCTCGGCGTTCGACGCCCGTTTGTCACATGCGCTATCGCGACGAGGCGACACGCATGGGTACACCAGTCGGTATCCGACACGTCATCCCAAACCTCTGCTGAAATCCCCAGAATGGCAAGAATGATCCATGCGATAGCCTTTTGATGTATCCAACGTCTTGGCGATAGGACCAGATCAACGCACTGACGTCTCTAGCTCTCGTGGTGCGATGCAAGCGATCCAACCGCAAGCTGCCAGCCAAGCTGCGATGTAGGAGACGACCGAATGATCCCACTGGTCATAGTAGTATCCATCGGATACGACCAACTATCCACCTATCCCGCGATCCAACTGGACGCAACTGGATCGTCGGGTCGTCATTCCCTTGTATGCGACTGCGTGTTTTATGCTTCGGCGGTTTCTGGCACAGTCGAGCATTTCCGACTTGGTTGTTTGATGGGCGCCAGCGTCGAGGCCGGCGGCGCCACCGCCTGCAGCGCGCAAGCCTCCTTCCTTGGCGTCGGCAACGCCGAGTGCATCTCCATGCACCTCGGGTACGCGTCCTTCCTCGTCGCCGTCATCGTCGCCATCTCGGTCGTTCTCGACGCGATCCTCGCGTACTCCCGGCATGCGATCCAGTGCCCGCAGATGAAGCGCATCGTCAACCGCTTCTTTGAGGAGCTCATGATCATGGGCTTCATCTCGATGGTAGACATGCATCATGCTGCCAATGACCCTCATGGCATCCTGTCCTAGTGCATCTTTGCCATCGACACGAGCGGCCTCGTCGAGGAGGTCTCGTTCGGCGTCGACGACCTCACGCGCCTCCAGCTGCTGCACTTCCAAGAGTTTTTTCACTACGTGGTCTTTATGACGACGGTGTACTACGTGGCGATCATGCTGCTGCTCCTCGTCATTGCTACAGTGGTGCCACGACTGCTCTATGGCACGCCGAGCGACGAGCAGGACGATGCGACACCGCTGCTCGAGCACGCCGACGCGGACGAACCGCTCTTGAGCCCGTCAGTCGTCTACTCGCGGCAGTACGACGCCAAGCGGACGCGCGATGAGACCTCGGGTACCCGTCCTGTCGGTCCTCGATGGCTACATACAATAGCGGCGCTATGCTAGGCTACAACTTTGTCCATGCGTCGCGCATGTACTACCTGCTCCGGCAGCGCTACAAGCGCGAAGGCGTCTTCTTCAAGTTCAATTTGCTCAAGCAGTTTGCGCTATGGAAGAGTTTCGAGCTCTTGGCGTACAACGTGTGCCAGTACCGGAGCAAGTATTTGTACAAGAACCCGAGCGAGATGCAGCGCATCTTTGGCCTCTCGCACCGGTCGTCGCACCACGTGAGCTTCCGCCGCTTCCACACGCTCTGCACGCGCCACCTCCTGGCGACCGTCGCGCATCTGCACTACACGACGTTCTTTGTACTCGTCGTGCTCATCGTGGCGGCCGGCGCGCTCCCGACTGCGACGGCCTACGTCTTCCTCGGACTCGCGACGTGCCTAGCCATCCTGACCTTTGTCATCATGATCAAGACGCTCCGAATTCTCAAGGGCATCATCAAGGACCGTCTCTTGGTGCTGACGCGCCAAGACATTGAGGCCATGCTGCAGCGGTCGTCCGACGATGCTCTCATGTCGCCCGAGCGCCGGTACTGCTCAACAGTGAACAGTGGATGATGATGTATACACGGTGTTGTAGGCGCCCGACGCTCAAGGGCGTCGCCCAGATGATCCGGGCGACGATCCGACTGCAAATGTCCGTCTTGTGCCACCGGCAGCTGCACTACCACGACACGCGGTTTTGGTTTCACCGGCCGTGGTTTCTACTGCGGCTCTTCCAGCTCTCGACGACGGGCCAAGCGTTCTACCTTGTCTGGCTCACGCTCGTCGTCGCCAAGGACCCGCTCTTGCCAACTTGGATGCTGGCGTGCATGGTGCTAGCGCCCCTCGCGTCGCTGTTTATACTGACGCCGCTGACCATGCCGAGCCTCGTGCTGGTCATGAGTCTTGCGGGCTTCTTTGTCGAGCAGGACCCGCACGGCCAAAACAACAACGGCTTTGACGAGCTCCAGCCGCAACACCTCACGGCCAAGGACCGCATCCGGATTGCCCGCAAGTACGCTCATGCGAGAGGAAGGAGTATGCTGATGCTGTACTAGGTCATACCTGCGCAACACGGAAGAGACATCGACCAGTGTCCCGTGCAACGCGGATGTGTGCATGAGCTTCTCGTCGAAAGGCTCGATGGCGGCGCTGCCGGCGGCATCACCCCAAGCCTCCTCCGACATGCTGCTGCACATGTACGACATCCCGGCCGTGTCGCCGGCGTCGTCGGGGCGCCACTCCAAGCGGGGCACCCGGTCCCTCGTGACGACGCCAGTCGAGACCGAGTACATGCTGCAGGGCACACCGCGGAGCTTCTTCCAGGAGACCAAAATGTTCCAGAACTACTGCTCAAGCTACGGTGGGTACGCCACGCCCAACAACACGGTCGCCGTCCCCAACAACTTCAACTACAACGACGCCACGAGTACCCACGACGAGAACGACAACAACCAGGCAGTGCGAGGCGACGAGGCTGCATAAGGAGGCGACGCGCATACGACAATGAAGACTCTCAATGAGCATTCGTGTACGTACGGTACTTTGGTAAGAGCGCGCGCTTCTCTTCCTACAGAGATCGTCGTCAGCATAAGAGATAAGATGTCGACGATGTTGTACCATCGACAGGTTGTCTTCTGGAAACACAAACGTGATGCCGGGCTGCGGCGCGGCCAAGACGACCTGGAAGGCTTCCTCGTCCTTGCTTGAAGTCGGTTCGTCGGGCCTATCCTTGCATGGGTAGATACAACGCATGCAACATGGTTGCGACGTACACGCTCGTCATGGCGGCGAGGGGCGGCGGAACCATCATGTGCGGAGGAATGACACCGGGCGGGAAGGCCATGTGCGGCGGCATCATCATGGGCGGCGGACCGCGCATGAGCAGATGCGGCGGCGGTGGCGGCGGACGCATCGGGAACCCCATCGGTGGGCCACGCGGCGGTCCCATGACGACGGGCGGCGCGACAGGGTAGTGCATTGGCATCGGGTAGGCGGCGACCGGTGGCCGCGGAAACATGGTCGGCGTCTCAAGGCGCGCGCGTTTGTTCGGGTCGTTGTCGACCTTGGAGTAACCCGGCACGCCTTCCATGCCGTAGACCTCGACCTCGACCGAGTCGCGCCCGGGCTTGGCGTTGGGCACGGTCATGATGGTCTCCTTGTGCACCTGCGCGACGTGGACGACCATGCCGCTGGCGGTCGAGAGCTTCTTGTTGCAAAAGTTGCACTTGAAGTGGCGGCTCTTCTGGTGCATGATGAGGACCTTCTCGTCCTCGAAGATGCGCTCGCAGTAGTAGCAGTAGACCTTGGCGATCTTGGGCTCGTCGATGCCATCCTTGCGCTTCTTCTTCCCCATCCGACGGGTCTCCTCGATACCACAGAATACCACGAAAATGCAAGCGCCGGATCCGATTGGTCAAAATCCTTCCATTTCGAAGGTGGACAACCACGGCGAGGACGAGGCCGAGCGCCAAGCGCCATGGCGGGCGATCCGCTGCGGACGGCCTTGGCTGTACGGTAGCATGGGCTTGGTATGCGTGTTCATGGCATGTGAGCTGACGCCCAAAGCGGCCATCGACGCGGTGCTCGGCGACGGGACTTCGGAGGCGCGTTGGATGACGGCCGGGTTGAAGCAGGACGCGAATGCTACGTGTACGACACGCCCAATGGCGGTAGCTTCCATGGATTGAGTGTGCGCATCGGTGGTACTGCAAGGAACGCATGCATTGTGGCGTCATTCTGTGCAAAGCCCAAAGCAGCAAGGCCATATGTGGGGTCTACTTGGCGCAGATGCCATTCCTAGTCTCCATGGGCATCGACGTGCATGGACCGAATCCCACGAGTGTGTCTCCGTTGCTACGCTGATAGATCATCCATCGACGCAGCGTTGCAGAACGCGCCGACCCTCGTGTCTACCACGCGTGTGGAAGCGAGGGACATCGAAGTGCATCATTGCAACGGAACCGATTTGCCACCGCGCTACCGGTACGGTTCGCAGAGCTGGCGTCATCCAAGGCGGTGGTTTGTTCAGTGCGTGGCCCCTTGTGTCTCGGTCCACGCGAAACGTGGCTCTTGACGCAGATATGATATATGTAAAGTACTTTGTATGCACAATGGCCACCAGACCCAACTATCTTCCTCTACGTCTCTCACCTGTCTGCACTCTTCCATACACTACCAGCGCCATTGGGGAAACCTCACCGGTATCCATCCACCTTCGTACATCATCGTCATCATCTTGCTGCTTCACGTCCATGCGCAAGCCCGTTCGTTGTTCGTCGCCAGGACGTTTCCAATTGCATGGATTATGCTAGAAGTCACAAGACTCTTCTGGTGCACAAGGGAGCCATAAACGATGCGCATCTACTGGCCAACCTGGTGTCTCGATCCTCGGGCCACGGCCATAGCAGCCAGCACATCGTCATAGAACACGATGGCCACGCCACGATGGCGCAATGCGCCAAGCATGTCATTGCCAGAGCCAGAGCCAGCCAGACATGTTGCCACGCCCAGCTTCTTTGCCACACAGAGCCTCAGTGCTTTGCGGCAGCTCGTGCATGACCGGCGCGTCGTCGGCGCCTGCATCGCCGAGGCAATAGCCAATCCAAATTGGGATTACGTTGCGTCGTTCTCATTGGCCAAAATTCGGGCCGGACCGCCCTCCACTCAAATACGCTGACTGGTCGATAGCCGGCTCGAGATTATGCGTTCTGAGAGGTAAATCCTCTCGCTTTCGATAATTTTGCCACGCGGTGATTGGTCCGTGTGGTTGATTGGTTACCAAGTCGTTCGTCGGCGCCGGTGTCTCGTCGGCCGGCTTAGTTTAAACGGGAACACTCTCTGACATTAAAAGAGCTAACATGGGCATGTAAGTGAACTACCACCTACAGCAATGGCATGCGACGACGACGACGACAACGACGACGACACGGATGTGGCGTCGACATGCGCTAGACGACGCCAGCGCGGTTCTCTAGGTGTGCGCAGCATGCGCCAACGTGGCGGCGAAGGCTGCCATCCGACGCAATATCTTGCTGTCGCCGCTGTTGTAGTCGTCGTCGTCCTTGCTGCCATTGCGCCATCAACGACGCGCAGACGAAGCTCATGGTTCTTGTAGTGTCAAGAACGGGAAGGTTGTTGTGTTGTTGAACGGCCGCTACGCCGGCCGCAAGGCCATCGTCGTCAAGACGTACGATGAGGGCCACGGCGACCGCAAGTTCGGCCACGCCATCGTCGCCGGTATCGACCGCTACCCCCGCAAGATCACGCGCTCGATGGGCAAGAAGAAGGTCGCCAAGCGCTCCAAGGTCAAGCCGTTCGTCAAGGCGGTCAACTACACGCACATCATGCCCACGCGTTACGTCGCCGACATTGACCTCAAGAAGGTCCTCGATGAGGAAGTCATGGCCACGCCGGAGGCCCGCATCGAGTCGCGCAAGACGATCAAGAAGGTCTTCGAGGACCGCTACCTCAACCAGGCTGCGTGCAAGTCGGAGAAGAAGGCCGCTGGCGTCTCGTTCTTCTTCAAGAAGCTCCGCTTCTAAATGTATTGGCGTTGTCCCTTGTCCTGACTTCAGCAGCCCGCCAGTGGTGATGATAACACGACGACAATATACCAGAGGTTCCGATATTTCCCACAAGCGATCGTCTTCTTCTCTAACACCCTCTCGAGCTACGACCCCGATGGGCTGCTTCCGTATCCTCTTGCAGTAACCTACGTGCCACCATCCTCGTGGTACTACCACCCGCTCGTAGCCTTGTCCGCCGCTCGTGTTGACGTTGTACATCTAGTCAAGCAGCAGAATCATCCTTTTGGCCTCTGTCTGTCGCAGCGACAAGGTGTGCTTGGATGCTGGATGGGATGCTACGCGTCTCGAAGGCGATAGCGCTGCAGATGGTTGCGCGCGGACTCGAGTGGGCTGAAGCAGCTCGGTTGGCTTTGGAAACGACAGCTAATACTGTACTCGGTTCAAATAGTCTAGTACAGTGTTTTTGCCGCACTCGTACCTCTGTGCATCGTAAACGTGGACGCCTCGGTCAATGCACCAAGTTTGTCCTCGGAGCGAGTTTTGCCGTCACCGAGTTGAATGCAAGAGGACAAGGAGCTCGCAGCACGTGCCGCTGTTCTTAGTCGCTGACGCTCATCTCTTGACGCTCGAGTGCCCTTGGTCGCTGCAGAACGTTCTAAGACTTGGGCGACGAGCTGTATAGTCATATCCACACAGCTCTCCAACCTCTACCTCAGGACACAGTGATGTATCAGTCGATCAGTATATCGTCCGACCGAGAAGCCACTAAGACTGACCGAGAAGCCACTAGGAGGGGACATGGTTGCAGCAGCTCGTTTCTACTAACTCGAGCTTGTTTCTAAACACAGTACATTCCCTAGCAGTCGGGCAGCTCAGGGTCCATCCACAACCCACAAGCGCAGAGACTACAGAGACAGCACGATGTCGTCCCAATTAGTTCTGAGAGCTTTGTCGCGCCACGTTGACCTACCCCTAGATACTACCCTACCCCTTGCCGCCTCCAAATCTCCCTGGCAAAACGGGTGCAGACATCTTGTATAAACACAATCGTTCGTGATGGAATAAAAGCAAGGAGCGCGTCCTACTTGAGCGCTGCAACGACCGCGCTGCTGGTGGGGCGTTTTGCGGGGTTAATGTGCCAGCACTGGCGCACAATCTGGGCGACGCCAGACGGAAGCGAGCCGAGGTCAAAGGCCGGCGTCTCGACGTGGGCGTAGAGGTACATGTCGCCGGCGACGAGGCCCTTCTCTGCGTACAGCGCCTTGCACGGCCGGTCGCGAGTAAAGACCTCGGCAATGAGCACGCCGAGCGCATACACGTCCGTGGCCATCGTCGTCGGCGGCGGCGCCACGGTGCGGAGCTCGGGGGCTTGGTACGGGACTTCGAACGCGCCAAAGGTCGTGTTGCACGGCCGCGTGTCGAGGTACTCGCGCTTCATGAGCTCAAAGACGTTGAGCTTGCACTCGAGGCGTGCGTTGACGAGCGCTTTTTCGCTTGTGAGGTGGCCATACACAATCTTGTGCGACTCGTGGAGGTATGCCAAGCCCGAGGCGAGCGAGAGGGCCATGATGCGCTTCTGGTCGTCCGAGAGGACGAGGGTCGCGTCGAGGAGCGCAGCGCTGAGCGCGCCCTTCTCCATAAACTCGGACACGGCGCAGAGCCGCGTCTGGAAGTTCATGAGGCAGACGCCCGAGATGGACGTAATGTACGGCGACTGCACCTTGCAGACGTCGTGGATCGACCGGATAAAGTCGGCGCGCAGCTCGATGGAGGCCGTCGGGTAGTCCATGCCCTTGAGCGCGACCTTTTGCCCGCGCACGTTGCAGCTAAAGAGGTTGTGCCCGCCCTTGATCGCCGACGTCTTGAGCGTCTCAATGTCCATCCAGAGCGGCTTGAGGTCGTCGCGCTGCGAGAGCTGCGTAAGGAGCGACTCTGTGTGCGCACGCGGCTTAGGCTCGGCGACCACCGTCGACGTCGACGTGGCCGCGGAATTGGCTGGCGGCGGCGGCGACGCCTTGGCGGCCTTGGGCGCGCCGTCCACCGAGTCGATGCCGAGGTACGAGTCCTGGTGGTCGGGAAAGTCGGGCGACCGCACCGCGCGCTTCTTCTTGCGCTGGTACATGACAAAGAAGACGACGGCGAGCAGCGCGACGACGCCAACGATCGACCCGACGATCGCGCCCGTGTTGGATGATGATGCGTCTGGCGCCGATGTAGCCGGCACCGTCGTCGATGTCGTCGGCGCTGTCGTCACCTTCACGGGCACAGTCGTTGTCGAGCAGTTGATGCTGATGGGCTTCCAGATCACGCCACTGCACGTTAAAACGGTGGACACGTTATGCAACGTCAGATTCGCAACGCTCTTCTCGACGGAGCTGCTCATGCAGCAATTCGGCGACTCCTTCTCCGGGCAGTAGACACGTACGCTCTTGGTCTCCTCGGCGATGCATTTCCCATTGAGTTTGAAGTCGCCGTTGAGCGGTTGGTACCCACTGCATGGAGGGCCCGGGCACTGTCCATCCGTGCTCGGCACGGACGGTGTCGATCCCCGGTCATCTGATGTTGACTTGCCTGCTTTCGGGTCATTTGTCGGCGTCGGCGTTGTCATTGTCGGTGGCGTAGTCAGCGTTGTTGTCGGCGCCGGCGTCCCGGTGACTTGGGCGGCGACCATGCTTCCGGAGCTTGCCAATATGGCGTGCGATCGCGTTCTGGCTGGAAAATCCATCCAGTTGGCCTTTTTTCCAATTTTTTTGTCGCGTTCCGTGGTCGTTGTATACAAACATCTAGTGCCGCGACAAAAGCTCGCTATTTTATTACCGGCCCACAATCGTGTGCACTGGGTGTTACTTGCGCAAAATCCCGCGATTTGCACAAAATTTCCGCAAGTTGGCGAAAAACACGGTGCCATCGACCGCCATCGACGCCGAAAAAAGTACCGTAGTACGAAGCAACCGTCTTCTCCCGTGTACGTTGCGATCGCCGCCGTGTCAAAGCGTCGTTCGCGACTGCACAGCGCGCGACAGAGGCGGAGGCGTCGGCATGTGTAACCCTATTTGCCCATATTCGAGTGCAGCTGGCACAGTGATAGCGCTGCCTAACCAAGTTGGCACAGGCAAAACGACGACTAGGGCAAGTGTAGACTCTTCAGTCGACGAGCTTGCAACTGGCGATGGTGGCTAATATCGCTTCATAATGTTGTCTTGCTTTGCACGTCCCTTGCTAATGTACTACGTGGACACACAACCCTGCCAAGACCGAGTGGCCATCAGCTGTGCGCCTGTAGTTCGATAGGGTTGGAGGGAGACAACCACACACAACGTACTCCCGCTGTGACACCAAACGACGTGAAACAACCAAGGCGCCTCTTTTTTCCGACTTGGACCCACGGGTCGCAAGTGAACGGGTCGTGGTCGGAAGCGCTCGATACTACTGGAATAGGTAACTAAGTTGTGCAGGTCGCTCAACGGGTAGCTTGACGCTGGCAACTCGGCTGTCTCGGTCACCTCGTGGCTTCAACGAGATAGCACAGTCTCGCACGAGCGATTGGAGATTGGCCCAGCTCATCGCTGCCGCCGGCGATACTACGGCCGGCGACAAGGCTCCTCTTTGAATTGCACCGTCGACAGCACTTCTGGACTCTAGTCGAGTGCCAAAGCTCGCCATGCCCACCGTCGTTCAGACTACAAAGTACCCGGTGCGATGGCGGCGTGCCTGCAGTCACACGCAGCTACACTAGGCGAGCAACGCTGCGTCGCTTGGCACAGTGGCCGAGTGGCAAGCGCGAGAGGTTGATATGTGGGCAGACTTCTGCAGCTCACAGGATTGTATCAAGTGCCACCGCCGTATGCAACCACCCACCTGCCGATTTCGACGTGCACTCACACTTGGCGGGAAGAGGAGGGGACGTCAGACGCTACTATGGCTCTAGCGTCTGCGAGATTGCATCGACCTCGACGCATCGCATGCGCTCGGACGTGGCCTGCTTCAAGACAACAGAAGACACGTGGATATGCCCACGCCAGGACAAGGCGACACATGCAGAGGATAGGTGGAATGATTCGCTTACAGGTCCAGGTAGCGCGGCGACGCGAGGTCCATGAGCGTCGCGCCGACTTGCTGCACCTCGACCTTGCACGGCATCTTGTCGATGCTCGTCACCATGGCCCACGCGCCCCAGAGCGTCGACATGGACCTACGTGACTGTGGTTGCAGACGCATGGAGTCGAATGGCAGCGCGTACCTCGCCTCGACGCGCACGATGCACGAGTACCGGTGCAGCGTCCGGTGGCTGCGCTCGTGCGAGAGCAAGTCGAATGGGTGGGTTGCGACGGCGAGAGTGCCAAAGACCTGCTTGAGCACCGACGAGAGCGCGAGCTTGGTTTGCATCGGCTGCAGTTCAAAGCTGTCGGCGCCGGTCAATGGCACGATCAACGACCTATCGCCGCGCCCATCAGAGGCCATCGAAGAGCTTATGCGTACAGCTGCAGACGCGCAAAGCAGTGCTCGGTCGGCAGCGCAAACTTGGCATGGACGCTCGACGGCGCTGCTGTCATCGCGGATCCAACGGCTTTGATCTGGCCGTATCCGGACGTCCGGATGCAGACCACTCGCAGCAAATATATGCATGGTCACCGCTCAGTCAAAGAGAACACTATATTAATGTTTCAGTCCAGACACTAATCAGCACCAGTACTATACTATATCAAAACGCGGATATAGAATGCCCATAAGTGCAATATATAGTGTGAATATGCCAGGCGGAGCGTGCGAGGAACTAGCCCAAAGATGCACGACTCCAAGTACACGCTGCTGTACCCAGCTTCTTCTTGGTGTTCTTTGGCGCAAGGGGGCTTATCATGCTGCACGAGCGCATCGAAAAGGTTCGACTCACCCGTCATCAAACGAGTGCATCCAGATACGTACGTGGCAGCACAGCATGCCTGGCAATATATCAAGTGTACGCAATATAGTGTATCAAGCATCGCTGGTCAGCCGATCGTTTGGCGCCCAAAAGACGTCACCCGAAAGGCTTCACTGCAGTTTGAAGCAATGCTGAAGCGCCATACTGCCACGCCACCACGATCTTCTCAAACATCCTCGACTACTGGCGACACGACATCAAATTCATCGAATGAAATATAGAAATAGTGTTGTATGGTCATACAATACCGTCATGACGGTTTGGTCCAATGATGGAATTGGAGTACAAAGGGAATAAGAACGCGTTGCACGGGCCGGCGTCAAGAGAGCCAACAAGCTGGCTTGTTAAACTTCGTTGCAGACGCGCGTCATCGTCGCTACCCATGCTTCAATGCCGGCGATGCGCGATGCGACAGCGTCGCGTCACGGTATCCGGCAGAGAATATCTGGGCACCTCTGCATCTATTCGCACGTGCTGCAGCTCCGCATGGTAACCTGCAGAATCAACCACCCTTTTTGTGAAGTACGAACAGGCGAGTCGCGCGGACCCTCAGGGTGCTCACCAAGGCGTACTAGTACGCAACAGCGTCACCATCTCGCATCTACATTGACCGGACCATGGTCCCTTCGTTCTACTCTACGATCTGCGAGCACGTGAAGACACGGTTGAAGAAGCAGCAGTGAGATACTATGGCCACTGGCGTCTTGAATGAAAAATCGCGTGAAAGTACTGTGTAAGGAGCGTTTGTATCCGGATGCAAAGGCTTTGGGACGTCGTCGCAGCCTTGGCATGGATGATGTATGACCTTGGACGACGGTGGTAGCCTGTCGTTGCACTGGTACGGTCTGGCGAGATGCTAGCCGATTGATCTCGCTCGCGCCTACAAAGATCGCTCCTTGGCGCCAATCACACGCCGTCTTTCTACCGAATCATCCGGATAATGTACGGTAGAATCGCAGACGTGCGGTGATTGGTCCGATTCAAACATACACTCATTCTCGACAACCAACAAGCGAAGATGGCACAGCACAAGGCGATGCCACCTGCCACCGAGGCCGAGGCCATGCAGCCTGCTTTGACAGCCACGACGCCGCAGCATGCGCCGAGCCGGAAGCGCAAGGCGCAAGACGAGGCAGCGGGGCAGAAGGTCCTCGCAGCCACTCGACAGGTCACGTCATGTCCTGTCTTGTAGGCCGCCAAAGCTGCGAAGCCTGAGTTGCCGAGCGTTATCGAACAGGTCAAGGCCTTGGCTGCGCGTGCTTGGGCGTGGCTGCCGCTGCATTCTATGCGACACGCGCTTCCGATGGAGTTCGCAGTCTCAACGGTGCAAGAAGGGCAGGCCCTGCACAAGAAAGAACGGCTGAGCCCAAGGTCGGTGAGTTCATTGCGACTGTAAAGCTCATGCTGCATTTGGTATGTAGCTCGTCATGTGTCGCCACTTGCGCGAGCCGTTGCCTATCGAAGCGGTCCCACCGCAGTCCATTGAAGCCATCAAGGCCATGCCGCGCAGAAAGCTTTTGCTCGTCGCGAAGGCGGTGTACAGGCATTTGAAGGCGCGCCACGCATCGACCGGAACCGGCGTCTCGGAGTTGAAGAACCTACGAGAAATGCCGATGCACAACTTGCGCCTTTGGGTGACGCTCCACCTGCCAGATGTGCGTCTCGACCATCGCTGGACGCATGCATATGGTTCACGTAGGTCATGCCGTTCAAGGCGATGCTCAAGGGCATCGGCGTCACGGGTGACCTAAGCGACACCATCGGCATCGGCTCGACGTCGCTCGTGTATCGCGGCACGTGCCACTCGGACGGCGACAAGCTTGTCGCTATCAAGGTAAAAACGGCGACCGCGATGACGTATTACCCTATGTCCATTGTGCCCTTTAGAAACTGCAGTATTCGTCGGACACTGCCAGTATGATGCAGACCCAGAAGGATCGCTTTGTGGCCGAAGCCCAGCTGCACGCGCAGCTGGAGCACGAGCGCATTGTGAAGTTCTACCGGTTCTTGCCGTCGTGGCCCCCGGCCATCCTCGGAGAGCTCGGCGATTGCAACCTTTTCAAGTTTGCGTTGATCCACGGCCCCCAGTGCGAGCCCGTGGCCGCGCGCTTTGTCAAGGAGGTGGCGGAAGGCCTCGCGTACCTCCACGGGCGCGGCATCTGCCACGCAGACATCAAGTGTCGAAAACGCAGACATCAAGTTGTCGAACATTGTCATGGGCTTCGACGTACGCCTCAATCTTCTTTCCGTCTCTCATGAATGGGATGCTAGGGCCACCTTCGCATCGCCGACTTTGGCTCTGTCTATCACGAGTGAAGCCCTCCCGTGTACAAGCGCGGGACATCTATGGCTTGGCCCCCGAACTCTTTAAGGACGAGGGGTGGGACACAACGGTACAGAGCTTTCTATTACGTAGCCCCACGCTTGTGTTAGGTGGATATCTGGGCGCTTGGCGTCATGACCTACGAACTTCTGGTGGGCGAAAACCCGGTCACCAATACGCCCTTGGACATGGCGAATCCGCCCCTCTCGGTCTTCAAGAGCGCCATGCCGTCCATCGAGTCCAAGATCCAAAGCAAGGTCGAGGCGCAACCCTTCCCGGCGGACGTCAAAGACCTCCTCCTGCGTATGCTTGAGCCGCAGCCCGAGGAGCGCATATGCCTCGAGGACATCCTCACCCACGAGTGGGTGCGCCGCCACACTGACGCGTAGTGCGATAGTTCCACGTTAAGACGGTAATGACGTCCTCTTCAATGAAAAAGGTCTCGAAGCACTTCTTTGCGACGTTTTGATTGCAGACGCCATGTCTTCTTGCACATGCAGATGGTAGACCGAAGGGAACATGGTCCGGTCGACGAAGGCAACGCTGTGAGTAAGCGTCCGGCTGCCACGTCATTAAGATCTACTCAAGCTAGTGTTAGGAATAAAGTAATACGCTGCGAGACATATATGCTAGTCGGTGTGGCGACGCACCCACTTGTGGGTGAGGATGTCCTCGAGGCAAATGCGCTCCTCGGGCTGCGGCTCAAGCATACCCCGGAGAAGGTCCTTGACGTCTTCTGGCACGGGGCACGTGTTGACTTTGACCTCGATCATGGACCGAATCGTCTGCATTGCGCGCTCAAAGTCGGCGCGGGGACGGTGGCCTTCGTCCAAGGGCGTAAAGGTGTACGGGTGGTCGCCCATGAGGAGCTCGTACGTGATCACCCCGAGTGCCCAGATATCCACCTACGATATGCGTGAGACCACGTTATTATGGCTTTCATACCGTCTTGCCCCACGGCTTGGGCTTGAACTGCTCGGGGGCCCAGTAGGGGTACGTTGCTGGCGCGGGTTGGGGCACACGAGTGCTTGTTTCGTGGAACGCGGCGCCGAAGTCGGCGATGCGCAGGTGCCCCTAGCATCCCATTCGTAAGAAACGAGCAGAAAAGAAGAAAACAATGAGTCGTACGTCGGTGCCCATGAGAATGTTCTCCAAATCGAGGGCCGCGTGGCAGATGCCACGTCCGTGAAGGTAAGCGAGGCCTTGCGCGAGCTCCTTGACAAAGCGCGCGACCACGGGCTCGCGCTGGAGGCCGTCGTGTAGGGCATATTCCAGAAGCGTGCCGTCGCCAAGCTCCAGGACCATCGCCGGGGGCCACGACGCAGCGAAATGATGGAGCCAGAGGACGTTGGGATGCTTGAGCTCCGCGTGCAGCGTCGCTTCCCGCATGAAGCTCGCCTCGACCTTCGCATTGCCACCGCTGGACATGTCCTTCAATGCCTAGAAAACACGCGCGATATAGAGCACTATGCCGTTGCGATCGCAGCGTGGACCTTGATCGCGACCGCGTCGCCGCTCGAGTTGCACTCGCCGTAGTACACGACCGTCGTCGCGCCGCAATGAATGGGATCGTCGAGGTTGCAGCCGACACCAATGTCGGACAGCATCGACTCGAACGACGCAGCCTACATGCAGAAAAGACAGGCGATTTGGCACCGTTTCGACGGTCGGTGCGTCGTACCTCGGGCATGGTCGGGCCCGCTGTCTCGTCGGCGTCCGTCGTCGCGGTACGCTGCCACGCGCGAAGCGACGGCGCCCACGTCCAAGCACGCGTGGCCAAGGCCTTGGCTTGCTCGACGACGCTCGTAGCCTCGGGCTTGACGGCTTTGACGGCCTACAAGATAGGACACGACGTGACGCTCGCGGTCGTGCATGCCATGCGACGGACCTTCTGCCCGGCTGCCTCGTCCAGCGCCTTGCGCTTCCGGCTCGGCGTGGCCTCCGGGAACGCGTCTATCGGCGTGGTCGGCGTCGTCTCGGCTGCGGTGGGTGGCGGCGTGGTCTGGGGCATCGCTCGAGTGTACTGGTATGTTTGAAACCGGACGCATAGGATTCTCCCTTGATATTATCCGGATGATAGGCGCCACATGGCGATCTTTGCGAGAGTTTCATCGCCGATCCCGTAGAACAGCAGGCGAGCACCATCTCCACAGTCCCCAAAGTCAATGGTGGCCATCGCGGCCATCGCATACCGGCTTTCATCAGTTTGCTTGCTGCTTGAGATCGACCTGCAAGCGAGTGGGACCACTGCTAGAGCCAAGGCGTCAACAGCGTCGGTATCTCGGGCTTTCAAAAGCCGGATCGGTCGCTTGATGACGCATGGAATAGCATCGACGGCGGACCTTGGCGCCTTGGGCGCACGTCGTGACGACCAGGGCGCGCCGAACTTTGAGGCGGCGTGCTCCGAGCACATCACTCGGTGCGCTAGCGACCGCCGATGGCCCGCTTCTCGCACTTGAGGTCATTGCGTCCGTCCGCGGCTGCCAGAGCGGACGGCGTTAGCTCCCTTCCAGCATAAGCCAGCGCATTTACTCTGTAGGCTATATCACCGCTCACCAGCCTGTGATGATACATGGCACTTGCGACCGTCCGAGACGGTGTTGCGGCCTCGGGTCAATCATCACACGACTTAGAGGCCCATCTTCTCGTGGCAACAAAGCTCTCAATCTCACGGCGCCATTCCATCGTCGCACGCCAACGCCTTGTAGCTCTGGTGCGCTCTCTGGCGACGTGGTCAGCCCGATTGCCCGACCGTCTGCGACAGAGATTAACGAATGCAAGACTCGCTGTTGTCATGTGCTTTGTCGAGTTATGGACCGACTAGGCAGACGCACGCCGTGGGCGGTGAGCGAGTCCTTCAGGCCACATTCTCAGCGACGGAAGCGTGCGCTGGACGAGCTCGTTGGTGTCGACCAAGACGGGCCCGTCTTATCTCAGCCTTCAAGATGACGAGCTCCATGGTGGACGCGGAAGGGTAATCTTCACTGCCCAAGCCTAGCAGCGCATTCGTAATGAGAGATGCAAAAGAAAAAGGTCGTACGGCAGCTGCGTGTCTGCGTGGCAGATGCTACGAGCTCTTGATCTAGCAGCGACCGCAAGGCCTCGTGCGTTGACGACTCGTAGAAATACGAGAGACTGGCACGAGCTCCTTCACTTTGAGCGCGACCGAGGGCTCGTCTTGAGCGGCGCCGTCGCATGATCGTCCAAATGTCAAAGCCGCAAAGGAAATGCTTCTCGGTGGCATCGCTGAGTTCAACCATTGGTTGTAGTGCTCGACGAGGAAGCGGTCATAGCGAATGGCGCCATCAAGCGCTTCCGTCGTGCAGGCTTGTGTCCAGGTGAAGTGGAGGTGCTGGACGAACTCGAAATGAAGTGGCGGCGTCGAGATGACCTCGGCCGGCGGTTGGCTTGACCCGTCATGGCGTCCAAAAGGCGCAGAGAATGCAGCTGCGCTACTCAAGATGATACTTGAACATCCTCTGGCTCCAAGACGACACCAAGGGCCTGGAATTACTGCAGCGCAGTGGCGTCAAGCTGTCGGGGCTCGCACAGCGCTGGAGCAATTCGAGCTCCTTGTGTCGTCTCTGAGCAAGAAATTGTTCAGGGAACAACCCGAGAAGCGCGGGAGGTCCTACGTCATGGTACATGCGTCATTTCCATGTAAAATATGGGTCCAGCGTACGTTGTGAAGGCTTCTGTACCGTCTTTTTTCACGACCCGCTCGGGAGCTGCTTGGGGCTGGGTGCGGGTTTCCGAAAGCAAGCGTTCCGCTCGTAACAAGTCGGTGACGCGCCGGTGGCCCTAGCATCGCATTCGTAAGAGACAAACACAATGAAGAAGAGTCGTCCGTTGTCGGTGCCATGAGAATGTTGGACAACTTGATGTCTGCGTGGCAGATGGTCGATGCGTGGCGCGCCTTCAAATGC